GTATGTGGGAAGGAACGACAGTTCAACAAATAGCAATAGAAAAACAGGCTTTAGGTATTTCTAATAGAAAATGAGCTAGGACTCTACAGCTGTGAAAGGGAGAGGAGAGGCTTTAGTGTCAGACAGCTGTGATCAGACAGCACAAATGATCCAACTTGGGTAGCTAGCTGTTAGACATATGGAAAATGTATAATCATAGATCTTTTCACATAAAAGGTGGAACTGGCTTTGACTTGTATTTGTCTTTTAAGGAAAAATGAGTCATTACAACTGTTTCTGCATCTTAATTATGGCTTAAAGATTGTAAACTGCATTTAACTCCTCTGTACATGTGGTTTCATATATTTATGTTCTTATTTATAATTCTTTTACAATTTTTTTATATTGAACTGTAAAATATGTGATTCATACAAAACACTATATGTAATATGTTGCATAAAGACTAATATCCCTCTCAGCTTAGGCCAGTCCCAGGCTAGAAGATCTTTCTTACTCACTTTACTGCCATTGTTTAAATAAAGGATATCATTGTCTCATTGTAACTACGAATACACATATATAACTAATATAACAAACGTAAGTACCTATCACTAATTGTTGTGAGACCTGTTGATATACATACATTTGGTTCATTTCATTGCATATTTGCATATAAAAAGATAATCCCTCAGATGACAATTTCAGTTTTTTAGTATCAAAAATAACATTGCTATGAGTGTTTTGTTGTTGTTGGTGGTGGTGGGGGTGGGGGGGCCTGAACTCTGGGCCTGGGCGCTGTCCCTCAGCTCTTCAGCTCAAGGCTATCTCTCTACCACTTGAGCCACAGCGCCACTTCTGGCTTTTTTTTTTTTTTTTTCTGCTTACGTGGTACTGAGGAATCGTACCCAGGGCCTCATGCATGGGAGGCAAGCACTCTACCACTGAGCCATTTTCCCAGCCCATTCCCTCCCATTCTTTAAAAAACTGTTTTTCTTTTTCTTTTCTTTCTTTTTTCTTTTTTTTTCAGAGTTAAGAGATTAAACTCCACACCAGGTGAACACTTTACCACTAAGCTACACAAAGCCCCATGAACAGTTTTTAGTTACTGTTATCACGTCTCTCTTTTGGTTTGTCCGATAAACATTTCAAATTTTTATTTGTAACCTGTAGTGTTGTAGTGATTTAAATGTTTCTTATTAATAGTATATGACCAGATTTTTAGGTGCGACTCTTAACTTGAAATGATAGTAAATTTGCTTTTAAAGTTACTATATTTTCTGTTTTAGTCATCTTTGGCTATAATACTGTGTAACAACTACAAACTTTCAGTAGCATATAAGGTACTCATTTTGAATGGTATCTGCTGACTTTGAGTTTGGCTGGATTTGGAAAAAAGCTGTATGTTGGCTTCAGTAATATGCCAGGTATCTGCTTCTACTGGCACTACCTGGGGTGTGTATTTCTTTGGGTGCATTGCAGGAGTTCAGGAGAGTGCAGATGAGCTTTTACAACCTCCAGTTGGAGAGGGTAGTCAGTTTTGTAACAGCAAAGCATATGACCATTTTCCCAAAGCCCAGAATACTTGAAAATGGAAGAGTAAAGCTCAGAATTTGCACAAGTATCCCACTCTATCTTGTATGTGAAATTGTGGATGTAAGACACATTAGCTTTTCTTTCTTGGATGGCATGCAAAACAGTGTTTAGGGGAGAAGGGAAATCTCATTTTATCTTGAACTACTGCTTAAAAGAACTAATAGACAACCTACCTGAAAAAATAGGTTTGAAAATATAATGCTATAATTGGCTCAGACTCTTGAAAAAGTGACCCCAGTTGTAATTCATTCATAAGGTTTCTAAGAAGTCTATCTTAAATTCTAATAAATGTGTTACATATTTATAAATATAAGATGGGTACATTTATTACTTTAAATGATGAGTTTATGAATCCAATGTTCATAAATTTTTCTTTTTTTGTTCTTGTTGGTCATCCAGCTTGAACTCAGAGCTCAAGGCTAGTACTCTACCACTTTGAGCCACAACTCCATGTCTAGTTTTCTGGTGGTTAATTGGAGATAAGATTCTCACAGACTTTCCTGCCTGGGCTGGCTTTGAACTTTGACCCCAGATCTCCCCGAGTGAGTTGCTAGGATTATAAGCATTATATTAGGATTATAAGCATTATAAGGATTATAAGCATGAGCCTGGGTTGTAAGTTTTCTTATCTGGGTGTTGTTGAGATCTTGGTGGTATCTTGAGGATGCTCTTTTGAGTGCTGAGAAAACTCTTGATGTTTTTACTTAAATCCTTGGGTTAATTGTTCATGCAGCTACTTATAATTACGGTGGGGGGATGGGCATTTTCTAGTACAAAGTATTTGGATGTTACCATTTGGAAAATTTCAGATAAAAATTTGATATAAACATGACTAAGGAGGAGAGTCCCTGGGTAAAGAGACTAGATTGTATAAGTATAAATGCAAGTGGGCCATGCATGAACATTCCATGTACTTTGTGTTGAAGCATGGACAAGCCTTTCCTTGTCATCATTCAGCATTTTCCAGGTCAGCATGTTCCACTTAGTTTCCAAGGAAAGAAAACAAGTCCTAATTCAAGTGACATCATGGTATGTACTTATCATGAGAAACTTTCATCTTGTACTACAAAACTAACAGGTTGATTATATGTTGTTTTTGGTTTTCCATACAACTTCTTTTTTCCTTGGGATAATTGAGTTATCTGGAAATGGAAATAACTTACTAGTACACAGATAAGGCAAAACAAAAACTGGGTCAGCTTTCAGGTGATTATGTGTACAACTGTGATTATATGTCACTGCTAATTATAGTGTATACACATGTTGATGCAGTCTTTTTCATCTTGTTAATGCGTATTTCTCATGTGTATTACATGACATGAGTAGAGAGTATATACATGAGGCAAACTTTTTTTCAAGCTTAAAAACGTCTTTGCTTTTTAGCATACATTAATTTCACAAAGTGGAGGTTCGTTGTGTTATTTCTGCACTTGCAAATAATGTATCCCACTCAGTCTGACTCCCTCTCTCTCTTTACCCTCTTAGTATTATTTCTTTTTTTAAAAAGTGTTACAGCAGAGAGACTTAGTATTATTTCCTTAATTGATTTAGAAAATAAAATCACTGGCACTTTTTGTGATAATAGGAAGTGGGTTATTGGTTTAGGAAGGAAATTATGTGTGTGATATAGCACAAGTGTGAATTTTATATCAAATGTGATCTTATCTTACCTGTGAAATTTATATATTAGATTTAGGCAGGCATTTGTGTATCTGTAGTTATGTTTTAAAATATCATTAGTATTTATGCCTCATTTAAATAATAAGAAAGGAAGGGTTATAAATCTTACTGAGAGGTTGTTTATTAATCCTAATACAGCATGATGCTTTATACTTTTTTTAAAAATCAAGTTCTATGAGCTTTAAAGCTCATAGACTGGTAGTTTATTTTTTTTTTTTAGATTTATTTTGAAATTTCCTTATTATTATTGTTTGTTTATGTGGCACTGAGGAATCGAACCCAGGGCCTCATGCATGCTAGGCAAGCACTCTACCACTAAGCCACAATTCCCACTCTGATGCTTTATACTTTGTGTGTGTGTACGTGAGCATGTACTGAGGCTTGAACTCAGGGCCTGTGCGCTCTACCACTTGGGACCCAGCTTCACTTCTGGCTTTTTGCTGGCTATTGGAGATAAGAGTGTTATGGACTTTCCTGCCAGGGCTAGTTTTGAACTGCAGTCCTCAGATCTCAGCCTCTCAAGGAGCCAGAATTACAGGCATGAGGCACTTGCCTCTGACTTGCTTTATATTCTTGAGTGGAAAGAACTACCTAAGAAAGTTTTAGTGTAATGTTTTATCAAATAAATAATAGAGTATTTGCCAGTACTGGGGTTTGAACTCAGTGCCTCATGTTTATTAAGCAGTTGTTCTTAACCAGTAAGCCACATGACTAGTCCTGACCTTTGCTCCTTATTTTTGAGATAGGATCTTGCTCCCTGGGTGAATGTTTGAGGGAGATCCACTTTCATGTCAGGCTTCCTGGTAGCTAGGATAACAAGAAGCTACTGTTTCTAGCTCTTTATTGAGAAAAGGGTCTTAGGAAATTTTTTCTGCCCGGGCTGGCCTGGAACTACAATCCCAACATTGTCAGACTCCTAAGTAGTGGGGATTACAGGTGTGAGCCATTGGCACATCCTTATAAAAAATATTTTAAAAATACTTAGGGGAAAAACGCCTTGAAGGGGCTTGTGCCCACATGGTTGGGTAAATGTAGGGTTATTACAGAAAACCTTTTTTGCTTTGCTTCCCCCTCCCTTTTTTCATTTAATGAGAAATTTAAATGAGAAAGTCCATAGCATGACTTTGGTGACCTTTATTTGATGTGATACAAATCATTTGTATGTGATTGAATGGATTTAGCAGATTTGGTATTTTCTATGACTTAGTTGAGGATAGAGAATAAGTTTTGGTGGAGAATTATCAGTGTTTCTATATGGTAATACCTTAAATGTATTACTTTTTTTTTTTTTTTGGTCGGTTGTGGGGCTTGAACTCAGGGTCTGTGCACTGTCCCTGAGCCTCTCTGTGCTCAGTGCTAGCACTCTACCAATTGAACCACAGCACCACTTCCAGTTTTTAAGGGGTTATTGGAAATAAGAGACTCACGGGGACTTTTCTATCCGGGCTAGCTTTGAACCATGATCCTCAGATCTCAGCCTCCTGAGTTAGCTAGGATTATAGGCATGAGACACAGGTGCCTGGCATTACTTACTTTTTGAGTATCCTGTTTCAGATAAAGGAAGATGTGAACTGAATCATAATATTCTGAAGTTTGATTAGCAATTGTATTTAGATTTTATTAAATGATGGAAAAGGATTCTGAAAATAGAAGAATTTTTTAGATGAAATTGTTTTTGTTTCCCTTTAGAAGACCTTATCTTAAATATTGACCTTTTGATAATAATTTCTTTTCTTTCTCATTTTCAGAATAGGACATGCATTCCTCTGAGACGCCCTGGACAGTAGATTTTGGTTTAATATTGGATTGGGACAACATACAGAGACATTTCCAGTCATGAGTAAGTGTGCTGCTTTGTTTCATTTGACCTGTATCCGAAGTGTTTGTAGTGTGCTACTTCTAAAAAGGTATCATTAGATAAATTGGAATTCTGGTTAGCCCTAATACTTGTCTGTATTAAAGTAAGGAAATACTTTTTGATGTTTTTATTCTAAGATGTTAGTCATAATAAGGAAACCTGTGGTTAGTTTCTTAGTTGATTTAGTTCTATCATTTGAAAGTTTCTATTGACTAGCCATTTAAGAATGACTCTAGAAATTTGAATAGGAAATATTGGAGTTGACTATAATTGAAAAGGTTTTATTGTGTGAAATTTAATTACTGGGTAATGAGTTAATAAACTTCACCAAATAAAACTATTAATGCCTTTAATGGAACAAAGACACCGGTGTATTCTGGACTTAGCCAAATTTAATAAAGATTTTTGTCTTCTCAGTGGTAAGAAGAAAGTATATGTAATATTTACTCTCCATTTTGATTCACTTCTGTTTGTAAATAAAACTGGACAATAGTGGGTACTCCTGGATGGTATGCCCCCTTGGGGCTGGGAAGGTAGCTCAGTGGTAGAGTGCTTGCCTTGCATGCATGAGGTCCTGGGTCCGATTCCTCAGCACCACATAAGGAAAAAGAAAAAAGCCGGAAGTGGCGCTGTGGCTCAAGTGGTAGAGCGCTAGCCTTGAGCCGAAGAGCTGAGGGACAGCGCCCAGGCCCAGAGTTCAGGCCCCATGATCGGACCCCCCCCAAAAAAAAAAAAATTGGATTTACTATTTTGTGTTAACTAATTTCTTTTAGAGGATAAGGAAAGAATTGAGATTTTCCTGTAGTTGGAGTCGTAAAAGAAGTCTTGTGTGTGTGTGTGCGTGTGTGCCACAGTACTAGGACTTGAACTCCAGTCTGGGTGCTATCCCTTAGCTTTTCTGCTCAAGGCTGACACTGTCACTGAGCCACACAGCTTTACTTTCGGCTTTTAGTGGTTAATCGGAGATAAGTGTCTCAAGGACTTTTGTTGTCTGGCTTTGAACTGAGGTCCTCAGATCTCAAGTAGCTAGGAAAACAGGCGTGTTTTAAAGTATGTATTTTCTGATTATGGAAACTTTGGGATGGAGTATTTCCTTATTAGAATATGTAAGAGTTTAATTTTTGTGTGAATTATTTTCATTTCCTTTAAGATGAATTAGGACAGCTCTTCTTAACATAATAATTAATTAGGGCAGTTGATAAATGAAAATGAGCTGCTTATTATTGTGAGATCTTTGAGTTTCGACTAAGAATATTATAAGAAGTGGACTTGAGTTTCCAAACGTTCAGTGGGATAACTTTCTGGTTGGTGTAATTTGAATAAACAGGGATAGTTGTTAGGTACAATCAAATACCAATTAGGAAAGAAGCAGCCTTTGTTATTTTAGACCACGCAGGAAATTTTGTGAGAATTCTTATTTAATGTAAACCTCTAACTAGATAAGGTGGTAATGAGTTGATAATTTTGACTTAAAAAATGCTTACATTTTGGGTAGGTAACTAAACTTTCTTCTACTTTAGTAATATTAGGGTCTGTTTACATGACTTGTCAAGAATGTGTTGTTTTGAGGAAAAGTAGCTTAAGCTTTTTAAGTTTGAATCTCAGTGTTTGACACAGTGTATTTTCCACTTGAAAATCAGCCTTGTGAGGTTGATGGCAAAAGGGAGAGAGGATCATGATATGTTAGGTGCCTAATAGTGTAAAAAATTCTACTTTTAAATTACAGTGGTTATATTTCATTTACAATAGTTTTTAATTTATTCTTTTTTATGTCCACTAGTTCTTTTTCATTTCTTTTATTTTACTTTTTTTTTTTTTTCTTTGTCCTTGTCTTTCTACAATTTCTTTTTCTCCATGATTTTTTTTTAAAGAAAACCTGTTTTCTGTAGCTTTGCAGGCATATTGTGATGGAAATATTATTATTATTATTATTTTGGTCCTATGTCTTTATCTTCCCTTCCCTGTGTTCTTTGGTCCTGTGTTCTTTATGGCTTAGAGACAACTACATCTGTAGTTGTTTCGAGATCAGAATTGGCTCTGTGTTAGTGGATCAGAGCCCCTGTTCCATGGTGACATTGGGGACATCACAAATTCTGTCACTGAATCAGCTGGCATTAGGTCAGCAACTTCTTGTAAGCTGTAGGCTCAGCAGGGTTGGCAGAACTCTTTTTTAACCTACTTTATACTCATGGAAGAGTGCCACCCCAGGTCCTGGCTCCTGAGTCTGCTTTATATGGAACACTTTTCTTTACACTTATCCCAGAGGGTCAAACCTCCTGCTGCTTTTTCCTGATCTGGATCTAGAGTGGCTTGCTTCAGCTGGTCTCACACTTTGTGTTCCTGTTAGATTTTTGATTCACAGAAATGCTTAACATGTTTTGGGCATAGCTATGTCAGTTTAATTTCTTTTTGTATTTTATATGTTGAAATATCTATCCTTTTCTTTGTATTTGTGGTGAAGAAAAGGAGCCCCAAAGAATAAAAAATGTCATTGAGGTTCAATCACCAATGTTAGAATATCCAAACTTAATTCCACTTGAGATTATTTCATAGAGCCTTTCTCTGTCATCTCTACACGTACCATGTTAGTTTATATCATACATTAGTGTCACCTCATGATGGGAGACTGGCTCAGGTGGTAGACAACTTGCCTGGCAAGTGCAAAGCCCTGAGTTTGAAACTCCAGGATGGCCTATGTAAAAAGAATGGTTCTGTTGAACTTTCCTTAAAATGACCTTATTTGCTTCTGTTTTTCTCTTGTAATCTCCTTGAGGGAAGACACTATTTCTGGCATGTAAGTGCTAAATATTGTACATATTTGGGAGTTCTTAACTAATATTCTTAGTATGTGTTAGCTATTCTGTGTGTTAGTATTTTTGGATAAAATTTGAGACACTCCTTTGAGAAGCTTTGACTATTTTGTAAGCCTTGTGGAGCTCTTAATTTGATTTCAATATGGGAATATTTTAAGAGTTCATTCTGGAAAAAACTATTCAGAAAAAATGAATAGTTTTGTTAGGTGTAATTTTGAAAGGTTGGTTATAAGCTAGGACTGGTGGCATGTGCCTGTAATCCTAGATTTGCAGGAGGCAGAGAGATAGGATGATGGTTTTGATGGTAGTCTGAGCAGAAGTTAGTGAAACCTTATCTCAAACAAGCTGGATGCTGGTAGATCATGTCTGTAATCTTAGGTACTTTGGAGAATGGGAAAGAAAGGATTGCTATTTAAGGCCATCCTGGACAGAAAAGTGCACAAGACCTCTTATCAACCTATAGCTGGAAGCCAGCGGGTGCATGCCTATCATCCTACACTATGTGGGAGCCAGAGATTGGGAGGATTGCATTTCTAGGTTAGCCTTGGCAGAATTCCATCTCAGCAGAGGGAAGTGGGACATGGTAGCATATGACTGTTACCCCAGCAACAATGGGAAGCGTAAAATAGGTGGATTGTGGTTCAGGTTCTCACCTGAGCAGGACATGAGACTCTTTGAAGACTAACTTGTAGAAAACAGGGCTGGAGAAGTGGCTCAAGTGATAGAGTTCATTTTAGGATGGGAGTGGAAACCACAGGAGTGCCATAGCAAAACCTTAAATAACCTAAGGTTGATTATGTAGACAGTATTTGATTGATTACATAGGCAGTATTTGCCTTTCTTAGTTTTGTTCTTAGATTTCAACTTTTTTAAAATCTTCCTTTGAATCCTGCTGAGATATATTTTTTTTCTTGCCAATCTGTTGATTTTCTTTAGCAAAAAAGTTCATTTTTGAGTAGACTACTGTAGATAGTGATAGGTTAGAGATTGTAGCAGTTTTTAGGGGTTGAAGTCTTACACAGTTTAGGAATTGAATATATCAGAAATCCTTTTCTGGAAAAAAATTACAGAAGCATATAAAGGTAAAAAGATACAAGTGTAGATAGAATTTCCAAATCTTGATTTGGGTGAGAATATCGGCTAAGTAATATTTTTTTCAATGTTTTTGAGGGACTAAAGGAAAGATTGGATTCTTGTGTTGGTGGATTTTTTTTTTTGTGCAGGATTTCTCAGACCTTCTTTATGTCAGGAAACGCATAGAAGAACATGGTAGTAGTTTGTACAGCCTGTGAGATGAGCTGATGAAGCTAGGATATTACATTACAGGCTCTAACTCTTCAAGCCAGACTGGTCTTTCTACCCAGCTATCCCGGAAGTAGAGGGAATCAGTTCTTTCACCTGCCCTAACACAATCTTGGCACAGTAGATGCAATGCTCCAGCTACAAGGCCTAGAGAACTTGTTAAATGCTTTATGATATCTTTCAACTTTTATTCTAGCTGATTATATATTTTATAAAATCTGAGCTGAATAGTCATTTTGTGGAAAATGTATTATAATGGTACTATTAGATGGATTTCATTGTGGATTGTTAATTTTATTTCAATTCATAAAAAGTATGATTTTTTTTTAGGACTAAGTTGTTCTTATTTTTCTGTATTTACAGTTTTCAGTGTTTCATATTTATTCAGTTTGTTCAGTTTATTTTTTATGAAAAAAAACAAGAAAAAACAGTTGTTACACTCACACTGTAACTGTAATTTGAAATGAGTATGTTAGATCTCTTTTTTCTCTCTCCTAACCTCCCCTCCCCCCCCCCCCCCTTTTTTTTTGGTCAGTCGTGGGGCTTGAACTCAGGGCCTCAATACTGTCCCTGAGCTCTTGCTCAAGGCTAGCACTTTACCACTTTGAGTCACAGCACCACTTCTGGTTTTCTGGTGATTAATTGGAGATGAGTCTCAGGGACTTTCCTGCCCAGGCTGGCTTTGAATTGCAATCCTCAGATCTCAGCCTCCTGAGTAGCTAGGATTGCAGGCATGAGCCACCAGTGCCCAGCTATCTTAGATCTTTAATGTAAACTATAACAAGAGGAATCCTTATAAAAGCCAGTGTCATACAAACTGATGATTGTATTAATGGGATATGTTTTATTTTTGATTTTTTGTTGTTA